ATTGGAGTGAGAGGCTCCCTAGGGTTTATTAGTTTATCCTTGGTCTGAGGAGTAGGTACCCCTCCCATCCAAAAAACAGAAATTCTGAGTGTGATCAAGGTTCTTTTACCCCTCTTGCCTATCCTGCTGCATAGCTAACTTCCCCAAACAACAAGGCAGGCCATTAGCAGTAACACCATCATCAGTTATATTTTTAATCACTTCATTTATACCCCAACTTTTTCCACAGGGTGACCAAAGCATCTTAAAATTATTGTCCTTGCCTCCTTTTTATCATCACAACAACTTTGTGAGGTAGGTTGGTTGAAAATATGTTACTGCCCCAAAATCACCCAGTGAGCTGCACCATACCAGCTTTCATAGCCTGGCTGCTGTTGGAGAGTAGCAAGCAACTAGGCCTAGGTGAATCCTGCAAGTTGGGTTGTATCAAGTCACCCACTGGTTGCTGTCAGGCTTGGTCCAATGAGTTATTTATTAGATTTATACTCCCCCCCCAGAGGGAGTTCTTCCTCAAAGGCCAGAAGAACCTTGGAAAAAAGCCCACTCTCCCAGCCTTTGACTTACAGAGACCAAGCCTGGAATATTGTGGTTGCCTGGCAACAGCCACTGAAGGCATCCATTTCCTAAAGTTACAGGCACTCCTTTTACCATTTTGTGTTTTTTTAACCCTCCATTATTTTTTTTCAGATTTTTCTGCAAACCTGGGACATGTTTCAGGTTTGCAGAAAGAACTGTGTTGTCCTTTCTCAACTCCTATCACTGGATTTAAGTATTCTAAGATCTGGGAACTTTGCTTTTAGAATATACAAGCTGAAACCCGAAATGACTTGCAGGAGGCATATCCCTAAAAGCTGATTATGATGTCAAATTGATTGGCACAGTCATAAGACAATACAAAAACCAAAAAGAACTGTGAAAAAGTGATGCTTAATAAATTTCTTTAAAGAATCAATTATACAAAAAGTGAACAATAATATGCATAATAATAGAAAAATGACCAGAATGTCTTGCCGTTTCGAAGATAGATCTTCTTCCGAACAAAGATGTGAGACAAATACTGTCTCTCAGTAATTCATTTCCTCTGGTGATGTTTCAAAGATATCAATGATGATTTTCAATGTTCATAATAGCTGTAATATCTAATGGAGCCTACCATGGGCTATTGGTATTGTAATGCCTAGGCTCTACCCCTCAAATGTAATTCCCAGGCTCTACCCCTCAAATCTACAGGTATTTCCCAACCCAGAGGTGGCAACCCTGTAACTGGCTATGGAACCGCTTCCCAGATCCTTGGAACCCAGAAGACATGGCATAGGAGGAGATGCCTTTCTACCTTAGCTGCCACTGCATAGCCCCAAATCAACGTAAGTTAGAGGTGGAGGGAACCATACCTGTTACCACGAGGCTGTCCTCCCATACTACCCACTTGGGGCGGCAAAATGACTTGAGACAGCTCTGCCTTATAGCTAAGCAGGAAATAAACATGGCTTGCCTCCATCTATTTCCCCCTTCTCTCTGCCGCCCCACCAGCCACAGCCGGGACACTCACCTGGAGCTTCCTTCTAGAGCTCGTTGTATTTCTTCCCACAATGGACCTTACTCCTAGTAGGATATAAATCTAAAAATGGCACAGGAAAACAAATAGCACATGATACCTTACATTTTCTTCTAAATGACATCCCCACAACAATGCAGCAGTTCTTTATAAGAAAAGCTGTAACTTTATGTATTGCCACTGGTGCATGAAGCAGCACAAAAGTGACTGAGATACCAAACCTTAGCTGCTAGTAAAGTAGGTTTTGTTGCCTTCAGGATGTACTTCCAGCCTAGAACAACATGATAAAACATGTATGCACAACATTATAATATGTGTGCAGCTCCTCAAATAAAGCTAGGGCACTGAGGTGCTAGCATGGCAGTGTTCTGACCCCACTGAAAGTTCAGGGGAGAGTCATTAATAATTGGCATCCCCTGGCCCCAGACATTTCTCCATTGCATCCCAGGGGCTTACATAGAAGCAAACTGTCATTGAGCCATGGAGATATTCTCTCACAGAATGGAAACATACAACTCACAGAAAAGAAATAGAGGCATTATCCACATACAACAAAATCAAAATCCCCTGAAAAAGCAACAAAATTATGGGCACCACAGAAGTGGTGGGCTTATTTGTGAGAATATTCAATAAAGGCTGTTTGTGTGTGTGTTTAAAGAGCACAAAATGGATCTTCTAGACCAGGGATCCCTAGCTTTACTGAGCCTGTTGGGCACTTCTGAAATTTGAAGAAGTAGTAGGTATCACTACAAAATGGTTGCCATGGGGGATGAGACCCGTCACAAAACACTACAGGGTTCCAAGCCAAGTATCCTCTTACAATGCAGACAGTTGTTTTCGAATGGATAGTCCCCACAGACAAAACGTTGATGCCTCTTGAGTTATGAAGCACGACCTCCTCCAATAAGCTGGAGAAAAGCCAGAATTATTTCTTGGCTTTGGAGGAGGAGACTATTTGGAAAAGCAGCAAACGGGCACCAGGAAACCCATCAGTGCGCACCATGGTGCCCAGGGACATCACACATCGGTGATGGAAATAGAACAGCCTCATTTTACCACCTTTTCCCCTTTAAAAATAATTTTCCATTAATCTTTTATAAGTTATATAGAGTGAGAAGGTAGCAATTACAAAAGTATATTGACTCAACCACACTGCATTTTTATAAACGTTTTTATTTTTACATTTTTAGAAAAGCAACTGGGTTGGATCCTACCAGCTTTTCATCTGGTGAAAGATGGAGGAGGTGTGCCTTTTGACCTCCAAAAAGCCTGGACTGCAGATCACGGGCTATGCATGGACAAACGCCATGTAGGACAGGGGCTTCACAGAGATGAGGGGAGTTGGGTGAGGTTGAGTGAAAAATCTGGTAGGATCCAGCTCTAGGCATGTACACACTCATTGGGATATGTGGTCTCTGGACAATGTCTACATTACAGACCACTGAAAGAGTAAAAAATGAAACAAGTGTGGTATAAAAACAACTGAAATGCTTTAGGACAATTATGTTTTGATTCCTGAGGCACTCTGTGGCCTCAGGGAAGGCTCCATTTCATAGCTGAAAGCTAACAGGAAAGTCAAACCAACCAGCGTGTTAGGTGCAGGAAATAAACCTCTTTCTGCAACTAGAAGACCACCATATATTAGAAGTACAGGATCAGAAACTTGAAGCAAGAACAGTGTAAACTCAGAGCTGACCTCTCCTGCAGGAGACAGGTCAAAAGAAGAGAGCTCAGCCCTGACCTGGATAGCTCAGGCAAGTCTTATCTCATCAGATCTCAGAAGCTAAGCAGGGCTGACCCTGGTAAGTAATTAGAAGGGAGACCTACAAGGAATACCAGGGCTCAGGAACACAGAGGCAGGCTATCAAGCCACCTCTCCGAAAAATGTCCATGTACCCCAGTAGGAGGTTGCCAGAAGTTGCCATGATGTCCAGGCATGCAAGCACAAACACACACATAACCCACACACGCACAAAAAAGAGAGAACAGAGCTCAGACATATCAGAAACTGGCATAAGTGAAAATGATGAGAATCCAGTCAGAATTATTTCTGGAACTCCTGCAAAAATAGAACCTGTTAAGAACAAGGAAATTAATTCTGATCAAGCAACACAAGGGAATGTTAGCACAGAGCGAGGGGGGGGGGAAGAACCACAGCAGCAGCTGGGGCAGAGAATACTCATCAAAAGATGGAAAAGAAAAGGGACGAGATGGGACAGTCAACCCCTCCCAAACCCTGAAGAGGATGTCCCCCCAAGTCTGAGTCTCAGGGTACCATGGCAAAAAACACTGAAGCTAGTAAACCGTCTGGCAGGGGACAGAAAAGGCCAGCACCAAGTCAAGAAGGACCCGGGGGGGTCAGAGGTAAGTAAGGCCAAAGCAACAAAACAGCAGGACACAGCAAAAAAAGCAGTATCAGCACAGAGACAGATTGATCTACAAAGGTAAAAAGAAAATGTGCCCACTGGCAGTGTTCCCTCCAAGCTGATTTAGTGTGAGCTAGCTCAGCTTTTTAGCCCCCAGCTCACATATTTTTGTCTTAGGTCAGGAAGGATGGCTCTAGAGCAAACTAATTTATGCAGGAGCCAAATCACTCACTCACAACTTTAATGCCAGTAGCTCACAAAGTAGAATTTTTGCTCACAAGACTCCACAGCTTAGAGGAAACATTGCCCACTGGGGAAGGAAAGGAGGGCCCAATCCAGGCATGCAAAAACCAAGAAACTTCCTATATAGGAACTGAAAATATTTCAACACTTGGCTTTCAGCTCTAAAGACAGAAGGAAAACTCTGCTTCCCTTTCAGTTGAAATTAATCTTCCGAAACTCTTGAGAGGCTAAAAGCATCTGTACTTACTTCCTCAGGGACTTTTTTTAATGAAAAGTCAATAATTAAGCAAATTGCTTAACACTTGATTCCAGTTCCTGCATATCTGGAGTTTAGAAGTGTTTTACTCCATTAATATTCATGCTGAATTTTTAAAAGAAAGACAGAGGGAGGTCCCTACAAAAACACTAAAAATGCTCAGATCTAGAACCAGATTTTGCCCACCTTTTTATGAGAAGCAGAAGCCTACTGAATGAGGTTTTAAACAAAGACCCAAGGAAGATACCTGGATTCTTCTTTGCTTTACTTTTGGAGACTCTTATGTTTCAACCTACTTTCCAGGGGTCATTTCGTAGAAAAAGAGCTAGGGGAACTCATTAGCATAACTCATTAGCATATGCCACACCCCCTGACATCAGGGGCCCGGCGGTGGACCTGCAAGGCCAGCGGGAGTGTGAGGAAGCCCCGCCAAGGCCCTCCCTGGCCCCAGGCAGGCAGGGGTGGGGAGAGGCGGGGAGGAAGCAACTTACCCTCCCTCTTCTCCTGCCTCCTCCTGGCTGAATGAGGGCTGGAAGCGGGGTGGCCGGAAGCAGTTGGTGGGGCTTTGTCATGTGGCCCACCCCCCTGCACCTCACCCGGGGGAACTGTGTCCCCCCGCGTTCCCCCCCAAAATGACCTCTGCTACTTTCTATCAAAAATAAGGTGTACAGATTTTGGTTCTTGCTACAAAAAGTCACACAGTGGCAATTTTATCAGAGTAGGAGAATAATCACTTGATGATTTATTTAAAGTAGACATTCCCCCCCCCCCTATTTTAGTTTAATATAATTTACAGTAAATGCATATATTATTGTTTGTTTTATAAAAACATATATCACTTCTGTTTACTCCTGTGGTTCTCTTGGAATATTCTAAATTTTAATGGAGTAAAGACAGCCCGGTATTTGATTTTGTTTGTTACCAGATTTTTATTATTGATATAAAAAAATCAATTTTTAAAAATAGTTGGACTTCAGCAGCTTTGTAAGGAACGTTTGGAAATGTTTAGGATTCCTCTCAGTTTTAAACATTGTGCTGATTGAAAATAAGTCTGTTTCACATTTTTGTCTTCCTGTTCCAGCTAATTTTAATGTTTTACTTAGAAGACATCAATATTAATTTTCCTGGCATTGTTTGGCACACAGTGTACACTTTTATGTACACATCATATTTAATTCTGTTGCATAAAATAAATGCTTCTAGATGTCACATGGTAACCCCTCCCTCTTGTTTTCACATGATGCAGAGGCATACTTGTATTTGCTGCTGAGTTTATATAAGAGAGTGCAGCCAGTCACAACTCCTTTCTGTATTCACACCTGACATGTTCAGACGTACAGTCAACACATCACAGACAAGCACCTACAAGTGTCATGGGTGCTAATGCAACAGATTCTATTTGCCAGTCAGAATTCCAATTCTCTCTCCAGTGGTCAAGAACAAAGCAGGTGAACCTTCCATTGCTGCATATTTGGCAATTCTTCCTCAGATTCAGAAGCTAGCAGCTGCTTATCCCCAGCACAATACTGTACTGGAATAAATTCCATTTTGGAAAAAAATAATGGCTATGCTAAATGGCAGACTGAAGTAATAGGTATCCTTAAATGGCGCAGTGCATAATGATGGACTACGAAAGGCTTTTTAATAAAATCCAGTAAAACCTTTTTATGGCGCTGCATCTCATACTACTGTCTTAGCACTAAATTGCGCAATCACTTTAGGAAAGCATGCCAGAAAATTAATCTTCACCACCTGGACAGGAGACTTAATAGATAGCAAAAGAGGAGACAACAGATAGGAGAAGATGATACCGAGAAGATCTGAAAGGAAGTGGGAAGTTGAGCCAAGACCTGGGAAGAACCCAGGGGACAAGAAAACCAGTCCACCAATACTGTCACTTGCTTTGGAGATGGTAACTAGTTCACACTGAACTGAAAACTGTTTGAAGCTTGATATGAAAAGGACACTAACATACCTACAACAACCCAAAATGGAAATATGCATTGCACACACTTTGATATGTGCTTGTCTGTAGCTGATCAACTGTGCAGTCTTCTCTTTATAAATACAATGGAAACGGAATACATGAGACTTGTACACTCACTAAACATACCCAAATGAAATAAGTTACTGCCTGCCATTTGTTTCTACTTCCATTGTAAAACAGACCATTAACTCATTCTCATGCCAGTTTTCTTTTCTGATGGACAAGAAGGTTGGCGTATCAGTGGAGGAGTCAACACTACTGGTAAATATCATGGGCTACAGCTAAAATAACCTCATACAGATTAAGGGCAGGCTGGGCCATGCAACAAAGACAGAAGGTTGCTTTCCTAAGAGGTTAGCGATGAGTTCCACGGCAATAAGTGTTCAGTAGCAAAATGTTTTCTATTATGTATGCCTGAAGACTCTCTCTCTCTCTCTCTCTCTCTCTGTGTATTCATCCAAGTGTAATCTCTCTGGAATAAATAAATATTTCCCTCACATTTTGGTAGACCCATGGAGAGGAAAGAATATATTTTGGTGTAGTACAGAAACAGCTGCTTTGTCGTTCTTTTTTTAAAAAATGTTGTCCCCTGTTGAAGCCTAAATGGGGCATTCATCTCTGTATCCTCCTTCCATGTTACTTCCTGGGATGTTTATTCAAGGCCATATACTTTTCATTGTACTTTTCATTGTACTGGATTCCAGCACCCAATTTGCCTTGCTGCAAATTTTTACAAGCTTCCAATGTTGGGGAAACTTTTCAGTTTTTCAGGGAAGTCATCCTTGTACAAGACTGGATCTGCTCGGTGCTCCACCACTTTCAGAGGCATGGTCCCAAAGACAGAGGCAAACTTGTTAATGCACTCAGACCTAGAAAAGAAACAAATGCATTGCTTAGTAATGAAACTGTCCCGTTTTATGCACAGGTTACCTATGGACTACTTGCTATTCATCTTACAATAACTTGACTTTTTCTCACATTCTGGAAAATCTTTTATCCACAAAAAAATGGGGAAAAAATAAGAGACAAATATCAGAGAGGCAATTATAGAATCATAGAGTTGGAAGAGATCTCCAGGGTCATCTAGTCCAGCCCCCTGCACTATGCAGAAAATTCACAAATATCTCCCCACCACCACCCCCAGTGACTGCTGTTTCATGCCCAGAAGATAACAAAAATACTCCAGGATCTCCAGGCAAACTGGCCTGGAGAAAAATAGCTTCCTGACCCCAAAGTGGCAATCAGTATTCCCTGGGCATGTAAAAAGGGCCACAAGAACAATAAGTGTTAGTAAATTGTAGCAAGCACAACAAAGAGTCCAGTGGCATCTTAGAGATGAGCAAATTTACTATGACAGAAATCTGTGCATGTTAGAGGCCAGTCTGTCAGGTGTAGGAAGCAGGCAAAGGAGCCTCACATGCTATATGGATCTTGGAAAAAGATTTGAAGTTATTTGACTGAAGCATTAATCACAGCAAAGGCGAAAGGGATGCTGTCAGCTGCACATGTGCACAGGGAGGTCAAAGCTTCTCTATTCTTTCCCTCCAGAATTCCAGGCATTCTTAAAGCAATGTAGACATGCTGCAAACCAGGGTGGATTAACTGCCAACATATCTCTTAAAGGGCTACTGTCAGGTCAAATTGTGTTCAGTACAGGGCCTACAAAAATAAGCATGTATGAAATCGAAGGCAAAAAGAAATATTCCTCAATTTAATTTTTTAATACATTGGAGACCGTTTTTTCCTCCTTAAAATAAACAAGCATTCAACTTATGGTGTCTGTGGTACTGATTGTACTTGAAAGCTTAATATACAACATTTTTGAAAATCCAAAACCTGAAATTGACAGGTTTATTTTCATTGTCCAAGCTGAGTGAAATTAAAGTATCCATATTTTTGTAAAACAAATCCTCTTCAACATACAATGCTGTCAGGAATAAGCAGCAGAACGATTTAATTTTAAAGAATGTAACTGTTAGAACTCCAGTATCTATGAGAGTGAAAACAAGTGAGCGAGGGTGTGTGTGTGTGATAGGAGAGGTAAAGAGTTTGAGTGAACGTATGAGTAAAGAGTATGGAATCATTTCGATGTAGTACAGAAACCCTGTACTATAGTTTCAATGCCCATGGAGGCAGCTGGAGTTCCTAAACCGGATTCATAATATGATTCTTCTTTCTCTCCCTGTTTTGGACTGGTCACACTATTAACAGGACCTATTTGTCCTACAAACAAGTTGGCACCTTCAGCTGATGGACTGATGCTCTAGACAGTATTTCAAGTGTGCATCTTTTACCTCACTCCCCCCATGCACTCCGTCCTGACTCTCTCTAGGTAAGTGAAAGGGGTAACACCCTCCCCCCACCTGAACTATTAGTACAAAATAGTTGAGGCAGTTTTGTGATGGAAGATATCTTAATGGGATGATGAAAGAAAAAAGGAGAGGAAGGACATGATGACTGCAATTAATGGAATAATATGTTGAGGAAGGCAAGCAATACTTTCTGCAGTTCATCTAGAGCTATGGAGGGCACTACTGTCCCTTTTCCAAGGCTACAAAGTTTGATCTTACTTATTCTGCTCGCTGCACTGAAGGAAGTTCCATTACTCAGCTCAGCAGCACTACAGGAACCACCCTTTTCTTGCTCACCTCTATGGTAGCAGTAATGTGCCTAATGTTTTCAAGAATTCCTAATGAGCATCAGGACTAGAAATTTGGTTTTTCAAACATTTTAGGATACAAATTGTGTACAAGCTCTTCCACTTCAGTAAAATCACTAATCAATTGGACAGAATGGGATAACTATTCTATACAAATTTACTTTAGGTACGCTGTAGACAAGGAACACGCCAGCATTTCCATGAACATTAACGATACAGACAAGTAATATCTGTAAACCTGAGTACTGGAACAACCAGAATGCAATGTATACCTTTGAGCAGATTCAATACCATCTAACTGAAAATGAAATAGCAAAAAGTCTTCATCTTTCAGACTTCCTATATTAATAGGGATTTGACTCTGACAGCTGGAGATTTGTTTTTGCCTTGTCCTGCTTATCAAAATTAAAAACAGTTACGAGATTAGGTCAGTGGCTCCCAAACTTTTTGGCCACTTGCTGGGTTCCACAAACTCATCCCCAGTGCTCACTACCCTATAAAGAGTATTATTCAGAATAGCAGTTTGCACAATCCACTATGGAAGATAATAACAATAAAATTCAAAACAGTAACAATTAATTGCACATTTATTCAAAATCCAGTTAAAACTTTTTAGTTTAATTCATTCATCAAAATTGATGGACAAAGTCTGATAGTCATTTAGCAAGAATCCTAGATACCACATTTAGTAACTACTTCACTGTTGAGTAAATTTATTAATGTGCTGGATGGGCTTGATGAAGTGATAGCAGTTTCCCAATGTCGGGTTTAAAATCACTTTGGGTTAGTCATCTGGAGTAAATTTCTTTGTTTGAAGAGAAGTTGGATGACCACACTAAAACCACGTTCCACCAAATATGATGTTGGAAATGCAAGAAGGAACTTCTTAGCCACTGTCCATAGTGCAGGACAGCAATCAAAAATCTCCTTTGTAACCAAAACCCTTGGTACAATTTCTTAAAATTTGGCTTCAGCGCAGTCATTTTATAGCTCAATTAGTTCTTTGTCCATTACCCCAGCTTCCTTAGTATCTGAAAACGGAACTACAAATCTTTGATCTCTATCAAAAGAAAATCCTCAGATCTTCATGAAGCATATTCGAATGGTCACAAAAAACTTGCAGATTGTCATCTTGTATCCCACATTTCTCTTCTAGCTCAGACAGGTTTGGAAATTGGTATAGCTCATGACAGCCTATATTGTGTTTGAATTGAGTTAACTTTGAAATAAATGTAAAGATGATAGATTTGGTCTTAATCAGATTGACCTCATTTCCTTGCAACTGCAAATTCATTTCATCGAACTTTGCAAATAGATCTGATAAATAAGCAATATCATGCCGGATCCCTTTGAATTCATTACTGAGCAAAGCATCTGTGTCTTCATAAAACTCCACAACAGTGTCAAAAAGGTCATAAAAGTGTCTCAAATAGCCAATGAATCTCAGTATGAAGCAAAAATGTTCAATATCTTCATCACTCTCAACAGACAACTTCCGGAATAGTCGATCATTGAGAGCATGGGCTTTAATTTTATTCATTGCAGTAATGACAGTATGTACTGACTTGTGCAGGTGATCACTGAGGTTTTTTGCATCCAGATGATGGCGATGAATGACAAAGTAAATGGTAAAGACATCTGGCGCTGCTTTTTTTCAAGTAAGCAACACACCCAGAGTAGCAACCAGTCACTGATGGTACTCCATCAATTGCACAAGAATGTCAGTATGCGGAATTTCCTTCTCTTTGAAGAACTATTCAACAACACAAAATATTGACTCCCCTTTAGTATCTTTTTAGTTGCCTTGCAAATAATAATTCTTGAGCCAAACTTTAATCTTTTATAAAGAGCACATAAGCAAGAAACAAAGATCCATTTTTGTTGGCAAAGTTCACTTATTCAGCTGTAATGCGAATTCTGTAGTCCTGAGTATGCTGTACAATGTATCTTTCACATTTTCAGCCATTTCATCTATGCATCTTTGCACTGAATTGTTGCTGAGAGGAACTGTCTTAATTATATCGTGTGCTGACTCATGCAAAACAGTACTCAGAGCCTCACTAACTGCTGGTAGGATGAGTTATTTACCAATTGTATGCGGCTTTCCAGACATAGCAATCGGCAATTAAATGTTGTATGATGCATGCAAACCATCAGTGTTTTATCATGAAACAATTGCAAAACATGCTTGACAGTGTTATCAGCTTCTGAAAATTGCAGGAGGTGACAAAAATAACATATAGCTAAAAATGCACTTCATAATCAACAGGTTCAGTAACTAAGAACAAAAGAAAATAAACACCACATTAAATATTATTATGTTAATTACTTACGGCAAAAACTTGAAAAATTATAAAGAGACAAAAACACACGCAGTAATGACAGTTTCTCAAAACACAGTATGCTGCCGTGCCAAGAGTTCTGGTGATGTATTTACTAAAAATTCCCACAGTTTCCATCAGATTTCAGCAATATGCAGGGGCAGAAACTTGGGAGTGCCATTTGCCAGCATCTATGCTCTAGACTGGTCAATCATAAATAAGTGAACAATGTAGTCGAACGGACCCACCTCCAGTGCATGCGTGCCCTCTCCTTGCCTCTTAGCACCCCCCAGGTAATCTCACCCCCTGGGGGGGGGGTGATACCGCTCACTTTGGGAACCACTGGTTTAGAGGATGTTACTCCATTTGAAAAGCACTCAGTTCTTCCTTTGATTTAGGCACACAGTAACAGTATTTGAAACCCCATAGAAATATGATAGGGTTCATTTCACATTTAAAGTTTCTGAGTAATTTATCACCTTCCTTTGGAAACTATTCCATAGCATAAGATATCATGATTAAGGCATATTTCCTGATAGCTTTTACAGAATTTAATCCCCTTCTTCACAATAGGCTCTCTTGTGCTGTTCTAAGTAATTTATCACCATGCTTGGTGTTTACATTCATACCTACCAAGGCAACCTTACAACTATTTAGCATTTTTAAAAAATGCAGGCTATTTTTTTTCATAATCTCATCTCATAAATTAATCCTTCCTAAAACCTGGGTCTTTATCTGTTTCAGCAGAGATCTCTCAGAAAAGAGAGTGCTGGAAATGGGAAGTGCACAAATAAATGCAAAATTCCTGTTGTGACATAGCCAATGCATTAGTATTATGACAGATGCACTTCAGACATTTAATGACATATCATATTTTTCCTTTTGACCTGATGGCCCTTCCCCCCCAAACTGCAGAGCCCTGAAATATGATGACATTACCATATCACATGCAACTTGTTTTTACCACCTCTAGTAAAAGCCTTCTGTGGCATGACCTTCCCACCTGTCTCTCATTCACATGTAAAGCATTCATTTCAAATTACTTCTCATACTTTTCCCCCTTGGGGAATATATGGGCTTGATAGCAAAGGCCTATGGAAATACCCACATAGCAGAGCATAAGCACCCTTAAAGTCTATTTTGGAAGGAAGCATGATTTGCTCTTCACATTCAAATGGACTCATCCATGAAGCATGTACAGGAGATACCAGAAGGCCATATAGAATAGTGCATTATATTTGAATAGCTATTGGTAATATTTCACTCTCAGTGTTTTCAAATTAACAAAAAACAAAACCTGTATCTTCTATTCTTATTCAGAGGCAAGTATCAGTTCTGTGGGACTTAATTCCCAGTGAGTATGCTTAAGACTGCAGCTCTGGGCAATGAAAAAATCATGTTCTTGGAGCTGAAAGCAATACAAGGAAAGTGAAAAGCATATCTACTAAGTTTCAGAAACAACTTCTAGACACTTGACAATCCTGACTGCATAAATGTTTACTATCACTCAAATATTTCCCCCAGATTTTGGTTATGGCTATACTGAATCAGCTACAATACCAGCTGATTCCTTAAGCTGCTGTTCTAATTACTGACGGTCAAATGATTTTCCTTTTATAAATATTTCATTCCTAGTAAATTGTCATTTCAGCAAGTCATCCTTTTTGAAACAATATTTGTGTTTTTAGTATGTTTCCCCATTAAACATAAAGATAACCAAATTAATTCCTAAGCATCTATCGGTTTAAAATGTAATACACATATAACATATAATACATAAATATACTAAAAACACAGTATAAAATACACACACACAAGTAGAACTGCTGCACCAGGGAACAGAACACATTTTCGTAACCTTGCTGAGATGTAATTCAAAAGAAATGATAGGAAACTCCACTGTGCTAAAACTGTCATGGTAGACAAGAACTGTGTAACAGAATTTTGTAAATGCAGCCTTCATTCTAACTTCAAAAAAACAAAAATGGAAATGGTAGTGAGGCAAAGGAGAGGCACTCACCTTTCCACCATATGTGTCTGGTCTAGCGACAATCCATCTATGGCTGTGCATTCTGGACACTTAAATTTCTTTCTGGGGGTCACCTGTACAAAGTCAGGATAACACTGTCAATAATACACACAGTAATCCCCTTTCTCAGAAAAGCAGTACAACACTCCTTGCACTTATCTGTAGTGTGTAAGTCAAACCCTTGAAAAAGGTGGGGTGAAACATCAATACCATTTGGTTCCATCAGGCCCAGATGACTGCAAAGCTTACAAAGGTCCAATAAAAAAAGCTGGAGGTGGAGTAAGTTTGCCTGCTATATGTGGAAAGTGGTGGCGTTGACAAGCTCCTTAATTCCTGTTTAATGACTGTTTTCTCACTGCCAAGGTCCCTGTATAAACACTATTTGTTCTTGCAACCATAAGAGCGGTGAAACACAGCTTCCTCATATTTCACAGTAACCTTAATCCAACAGACACACTTTGCTCACTTGAGTTATTAGCTAACTGGCAAACTCTGTGAGGCTCTCTTGACCGCATTGAGGTGCCAAATTACTCTGCAGTGCCCGTGCACAGTTCAGATACTCTCACAGCAAACACACATGCTTTATCTTCTAAAGACTTTTCTCCAAAACACAGTCATCAGCCCGGGTAAATGATGATGGACAGGCAGGAAAGCAGACCTTGCTAATTGAAGTAATGCCAGGAGGCCTCTAAATCTCGTTCTGAGTTGACATGCTTTGAAATGAGCAGACAAAGTGAACATCCAGGCCAAAAAATGTGTTGAAAACATGTCAGGAAATTAATTCAGGGGTAAAAGTTCATTTAAAAACTGATCTTGCAATTAACATTCTTGCAATTAGCATTCCTATAAATCAGCTATTGCTGGTTATTATAGGCATGGATAGATTGGGTTGTGATTTTTTTACCTCCTGGTACAGTCCCCCCCCCCCACAAACACATTCAGTTTAACCTATTTACTTGCTTTCCCCCATTTGTCTGGTCAAAATGACTGCCCTCAAGCAATTGCACAACCCTTCCCCCCTACTACCCTAGGCAGCAAAGAGATTTCAAGGCTTGGGTCCCAAGGACAACAGAAAGGGTATCATTTCAAGGAGTAAATAAAAAGAGGTGCCCATATTGCCATGAATCATGGCATACTGATGGGACAAGACCCAAAGTGAACCTCATTACAATAAGACTCAAGTGCTGTTTGTCAACATAGCCAAACAGAGATTAAGAGTTAGCCTGTGTTTTGGAGGAGACTGAGCTCAGTTTAAAGTGTCAGTTACCATAAATGGTTTGGGACCTGGGAATTTAAAAGATCGTCTGCTTCTATATGTGAGCTTGTCCATCAATAAAGGTAGTTGACAAAGTCTTTGGTCTGTATGCCTTCATCTTCTAAGATAATGTGGATAACCATAAGAGAGAGGGTTTTTTTCTGTTATGGCCCTAGAGTCTAGAATCTGAAATTCTCTCCCCTTACATCTGCCTGACATTACGCTTCCCTCCTCCCGACCCCCCCCCCCCACCTACTCTTCTTAGGGATTAAATGAAAACTGCTTCCTGTGTGATTCAGTATTGGTTTTACTATTATGCTGCTAATTATCTTTTTAATGTATTCTTATGCCATTTATTGTATCACTGTTTTATTGCTGATCTTAATTGTTACTGTGAAATACCCTTTATTCATGTTAATAATTTTGGATGTTGCTTCAGAAGCTGATGTGGACTAGAATCTAACCAGATCTATATTTTAACAAACAGAATGACATTCGGACACATATACAATTAAGACTTTGTGGCATTGCCACCTTACAGAGACAACAGTCAAAGGAAGGCTCACCTTAATTACAGCTTTCCCAGTAACATTAGCTACAAGAAAATTCATGGCAATGTCTTCACAATTCATGTGAGCGTCCACCCAGTTCTTGATGTCTCCAGGCATTTTGTATGTGTACAAGTAATTAAAATACTGCAGAATGAAAAAGAGTTAAAACATGTGTTGTATATACACTTAGCATGGAGGCAAGCCTTTCAGATCACTGGAACTGACAGTTTAGAATTGGAATGGGGTCCTGGGATAGGTATGCTTTACTGCAAACCTCTTCAGTGCAAAACCTGCTGAAATTAATGTAAGTGCATGAAAACAAGCAATTGCACACCTGTGCTCTTATGCTGTTGTTGTTGTTCAGTTGCACAGTCTAGTCCGACTCTTCACGACCCCATGGACCACATCACGCCAGGCTCTCCTGTCTTCCACCATCCTCTGGAGTTTGCTTAATTTCATGTTTGTTGCCTCGATAACACTATCTAACCATCTCATCCTTTGCCGTCCCCTTCTTCTTTTACCTTCATTCTTTCCCACCATCAGGGTCTTCCCCAGCGAATGCTCCCTTCTCATTTGGTGGCCAAAGTATTTGCGCTTCAGCTTCAGTATCTGGCCTTCCAGGAAACAGTCAGGGTTGATTTCTTTTAAGATTGACTGACTTGATCTCCTTGCAGTCGAAGGGATTCTCAAGAGTCTTCTCCAGCGCCATAATTCGTAAGCACCTATTCTTTGGCACTTGGCCTTCCTTATAGTCCAACTCTCGCAGCCATACAGTACTACTGGGAATACCATTGCTTTGACCATACGGACTTTTGTTAACAGGATGATGTCTCTACTTTTTATTATGTTGCCTAAGTTTGCCATAGCTTTCCTCCTAAGGAGCAAGCGTGTTTTAATTTCATGGCTGCAGTCACCGCCTGCAGTGATCTTGGATCCCAGGAATGTGAAGTCTGTCACTGCTTCCATGTCTTCCCCTTCTATTTGCCAAGAAGTGATGGAGTTGGATGCCATGATCTTAGTTTGTTTAATGTTGAGTTTCAAGCCAACTTCTGCACTCTCCTCTTTCACCCTGAGCAAGAGGCTCTTGAGGTCCTCTTCACTTTCTGCCATTAGAGTGGTATCGTCTGCATATCTGAGATTGTTGATATTTTTCCCGGTAATCTTAATTCTGGCTTGTGATTCATCCAGGCCGGCATTTCGCATGATGTACTCTGCATATAAATTAAATAACCAGGGTGACAATATACATCTTTGTTGTACTGCTTTTCCTATGCTAAACCAATCAGTTGCTCCATATCCGGTTCTGCCACTTCTTGACCCTTATACAGGTTTCTCAGGAGACATGTGAGGTGGTCTGGTACTCCCATCTCTTTAAGGACTTGCCACAATTTGTTGTGATCCACACAATCAAAGGCTTTAGCATAGTCAATGAAGCAGAAGTAGATTTTTTTTGTGGTACTCCCCCGCTTTCTCCATAATCCAGCGAATGTTGGCAAGTTGATCTCTCGTTCCTCTACCTCTTTGAAACCCAGCTTGTACCTCTGGCAGTTCTCTATCTACGTACTATTGAAGCTTAGCTTGTAGGATCTTGAGCACGACCTTGCTAGCATGTAAAATGAGTGCAATTGTGGAATAGTTTGAACATTCCTTGGCATTGCCCTTCTTTGGGATTGGAATGTAAACCAAGCTTTTCCAATTCTGTGGCCACTGTTCTGTTTTCCAAATTTGCTGACATTTTGAGTGCAGTACTTTAACATCATCATCTTTTAAGACTTTGAATAGCTCAGCTGGGATACCATCACCTCCACTAGCTTTGTTGTTAGTAATGCTTTCTAAGGCCCAATTGACTTCACACTGCAGGATGTCTGGCTCGAGGTCTGTGATTACACCGTCGTGGTTGTCAAGGACATTGAGGTCCTTCTTGTACAGTTCTTCCGTGTATTCTTGCCATCTTTTCCTAATCTCCTCTGCTTCTGTTAAGTCCCTGTTTTTGTCCTTTATCATGGCCAGCTTTGCACAGAACATTCCCTTGATTTCTTCAATTTTCTTGAAGAGATGTCTAGTCCTTCCCATTCTATTGTTTTCCTCTATTACTTTGCATTGTTCATACAGGAAGGCCTTCTTATCTCTCCTTGCTGTTCTCTGGAAAGCCACATTCAGTTGGGTAAATGTTTCCTTTTCACCTTTGCCTTTTGCTTTTCTTCTTTCCTCTGCTATCTGTAAAGCCTCATTAGACAGGCACTTTGCTTTCTTGCATTTCTTTTTGTTTGGGATGGTGCTGATTGCTGCCTCTTGTACACTGTCACGAACCTCCGTCCATAGTTCTTCAGGCACTCTATCAAATCTAGACCCTTGAATCTATTCTTCACCTCTACTGTATATTCATCAGGGATGCGATCTAAGTAAAACCTGAATGGCCTCGTGGTTTTCCCAACTTTCTTCAGTTTAAGCCTGAATTTTGCAATGAGTAGCTCATGATCTGAGCCACAGTCAGCTCCACGTCTTGTTTTTACTGACTGTATAGAGCTTCTCCATCTTTGACTGCAAATGATATAATCAATCTGATTTCGGTGTTGCCCATCTGGTGATGTCCATGTATAGAGTCGCCTCTTAGGTTGTTGGAAGAGGGTGTTTGCTATGACCAGCATGTTCTCTTGACAAAACTCTGTTAGCCTTTGCCCTGCTTCATTTTGTTCCCCAAGGCCAAACTTGTCTGTTATTCCGTTTACCTTTTGACTTCCTACTTTAGCATTCCAGTCCCCTATGATGAGGAGGACATCTTCTTTTGGTGTTAGCTCTAGGAGGTGTTGTACGTCTTCATAGAACTGGCCCACTTCAGCCTCTTATGCATCAGTGGTTGGGGCATAGACTTGAATTACTGTGATGTTGAATGGTTTGCCTTGGATTCGGACCGAGATCATTCTGTCGTTTTTGAGATTGTATCCCATTACTGCCTTTCGCACTGTCTTGTTGACTATAAAGACCACACCATTTTTTCCACGGGATTCTTGGCCACAGTAGTAGATATGATGATCTTCTGAGTTAAATTCACTCATTCCCGTCCACTTTAATCCACTGATTATGCTACTTGCAATCATTTCAGAATGGATTGCAAAGGAAAGATGTCCAGTGTTTCATACCCACCATTTATTTTATTTCCATACTGTTTGCCCCTTTCAGTAACTTAGAGCTTATTTCTCATATACATCTTAAAAAAGACAACTCTCTTTCCCACATCAAGTCATAAACTGAGCTTGCTGAACCAGCCATACAGATAATAAAAGATGCAATCATAATCTCTTTCCCCCTTTTCACACATTCCACACCCATAGTTTTGGCAAACTATTTCTCGGAACTGAAACTTGCCAGATGGCTGAATCCAAGGAACCATGGAAGTAGTTCCACATGCTCACAGGAGCTTTGGGTCTAAGGTATACTACCACCTCAAGAATACCACATATCAAAGTTATTTTGAAGCTGAGGAGGATCTTGAAGTGGAATAGGGGTTTGCCATTCAAAAGCAAAAAATGGCAATGTATGTGCACACTTTACTATCTTGTGATATTATACCTCGAGTACAAACACATATACCAAGTGTCATCATTATTAGCTTTGAGGACATCCTCTGCATCCACATATTCCTTACAGATCAGCTGATAATTATTAAAATTGTACCATGCTGCAACTAATGAGTGCAAAGAGAAATGTGTGAGAAAGGTGTATCATGAAATGCTGTAGGGTGATTACACTCTGGCATTTCACCAGAGGGTCCCTCTCACCATTGGGAAGTGGCTCTCTCTGGATCAGATTGCTTCTCCCAGTTATAAGAGGAAGTGAAAGGTTCCTGCCACCCTCCCAAGCCTCTATTACTCATACTGGCACAAAAAGCTCCCTCTGCCAGCTTCCTGAAAATATGAAGCCACCATTTCAGAACTATGCTATGTGCTTCCCAGTTTTTCTTTATGTTGTATTTTACCTTGTGGTAAAAAGCTGCTCCTGTGAGCACCATTGAGACTTCATTGGTCCACTCCGACTCATATTTCCATTTATTTGTCTCATGGTCCCACAAATGCAGGCGACCAGGGTACCCAACTAGTCTGTCAGGGAATTCTCTCCATACCTGCAGAGAACAATTATGTGATGTTTGTATTCACTGGAAAAACAGACACTTTCATGTTTAATAAGACTATAAATATAATATTTTACTGTTAGAAATAAATATTTTGAGGGATGACCCCTGCCTGCCTAAGGATACAATATCTAGAATGGGTGCAAATCCAAACTCCCTTGGCTTTCCTTCTTTCCTTCCCAAGTTCATTGCCTTCATTCCCTACAGAGTCTTCAGGTAACCAACCTCTACTTATAAGGCAATTCTTGAACAGTGTAAGGCACCCTGGCTTTCTCATCAAATTCCTCTACTTGCTCTTGAGAGAACAGTGAGTGTGCCCTGCCATTCCAGAACCACTTCTCTGGTCTCTACAGTGAACATCTGGCCACCTTTCTGTCACCAGGGAAATAGGTTTGCTTCATCCACTGCTCCCTAGCGGCAGCATTTGGATTCCCTGCTCCTACGCTATGGGGGCAGACCTAAAAAGTTATTTTGCATACGTGTGCAGGCATGCACACATAATTACTCAACACAGTCACACTATAATTGTCTTCTTATGTCCCAGAGGTCAGAAATAAACGCCAACACTCACTGGCAAAATAACTTTAAATGCATGGGGGGAGGGGCTTTCATTGGCAGAATGCCACAGGCAATTAAAGCAAAGTATGTGTGGTGTAGTGATTAAAGTGCTGGACTAGGATCTGGGAAAGCCAGGTTGGAATCCCTACTCTGCCATGGAAGATTGCTGGGTAATCTTTGGTCAGTCACACAGTCTCAGCCTAACCTACCACAAAGGGTTGTTGTGAGGATAAAATGGAGAGGAGAAAAATGCAAGCCACTCTGGGTCCCCCTGGGGAGAAAGGCAGGATAACAATGAATAAATGAGCATGAATAGGCTGCAGGACAGAAGAAAATTTATAGAAACATACTGTGGACTACAAATAATTATAACAGCATTATGTCCAACCCCAGAAACATCTAGAAATGGGACAAATATACTTTTGGCACAGGATATCTGGTACAGTCCTGCTCCCCTGGTGCATATGAAATGGACTTTAGGCACCTAATTTCTGAGGAAAGACTGAGATAATATTTTTCCCCAACCATTTTGAGTTTATCATCAACATATGGCAGAAACCACAGGGAATTGTGGCATCAAAAGTTGTTTCACATGACTTGCTCAAAGACTATTGTGCATATGGCTGCCAAAATGCCTGGATGTTGATAAAACCAAGTTAGTCTCAGCATGATTCAGTCCCTTCAGATAATCTCTAGAACTAATGATTCCAAAGGAACAAAGACTGTACAATGAAAATACTTGGTCGCTCAATCTAGCCCATTCAGTTTTGAATAAGTATACTCAAAATAGTCCTAAGTATATTTTGAGTCCTGTTTCACACACAATTTTCTTGCATGGAAAATTTTGCAAAGCAAAACATGTTTTTCTCCCTCTGCTTTGGTAGAAGCAGTCCTCTCCAGAGCAGCCTTTAGAAGTTTTTTGTATACAATGTATATTTAAATATGTAATAGAACTCCTAGCACCTTGAACATGTACATAGCACTGGTACACTTGGAGAACTGGGAAGAGCTGTGGCTCTTTGTAGAGTGTGTACTTCATGGCAAAACCCATATTGGTGGCTGTGTGTGAAACTCTATAGCTGCAATATATTATTGTGAACCCAAGTCAATGTAGTAACTTCACTATGTCAAGAAGCTTCAGACTGTCATCTTTATGGCATCTAACTTTTTTAAAAAATCAATTGTTTTCTTGAGTCATGTTAAGCAGCCAACCAAACCCCTTTCATTTATCTTGCAAGATAAAAGATGTCTTCATATACCAGTCTTTTCTGACAGTCTATTTTACTTTCTCAATTTCTTTTCTTAATTTCCATATGCTCCCAGAACTTCAGTTTTAAAGTAACTGTTTTTCATTTACTCCTGTGAATCCTCAGTGACTGTGTCATAATATCACACTTGTAGCAAGTGAAAAATATTCTTGTGACACAGCAATCTGAACCAATCAATCTTCAGGAAACATGTGTAGACACAAATAACTCCTTAATTTGATCTTTGCTTTTAAAACGAAAACATGTTTCTGTAGACATGGATCTTTAACACAAAAATGAATGGAAAATAATGCTTACTTTAATGCTTAGACTTTGGGGGAAGACAAATGCTTTTATCAGAAAGTTAACACTTTTTAAATGGAAAAACATAAAATGTAACTGTTTTGATATGAAATATATTGCTATTAGGTGTAGCTAAATTATTTGGCGAGTCAATGTACACCTCCTCTATCATTAAACAGGAATTGAGTTAGAAACCAAAGCTTGATATTTATAGTTTTTTAGTGCTCTATAAAAGGTGCTTTGGTGAAGCTATCATTACATGAATAGTTTCTTTGCCCATGCCTTGGTCTTGGCAGCTGGATACAATCAGGATGCTATTCCTATCACTTCATTACTCTGCCACTGACTACCAGATCAAAACACAGGCTGACAAGAGCACGGACAAGTCATCATTAATACACCCTGAGGTTCTATATACTGCTGGCTGCATTACTCAGTGGACACATTCCCCAAGGTGTTCAGTTTGAAAGGAAGTATTTCAAGAAATCAGTAGTAGAGACTGTGCTTAGCCCCTACAAAACAGGGTAAAGAGTTTTTTTTTAATGTACTTTCTCTGTTTCTTTTCTTGTTCTTTATTGCTGTAATTTATACGTCTTTGTGTAGATCTAGCTAACTATAATACTTTGATAAAATTAAGTAATAACTTTAATCCCCTCAAATACTGTACTGGGTGTGGGCATTTACCTTTGTCAGAAGTACTGCAACTGGCACCAGACAACACATATTTATCTACACTTCATGGACAATGTGGCAATTATATCCATCCACCTGCCCATCACTGTTTCCTTCAGTAAGCACCATAGAATATGAAGAGGTCCTTTGTCTATAAGAACTCAGGGTACATTTTCTCAGGGTGCCCTGTTCACACTTCCTTTGGACTGCTGCTCCACATAGGGCAGAAGCACAGAGCAAGCCATGGAGGAGGTCTAGTGCTAAATTTCCATAGCACCTGGATTCCATTTTGTCTCACTAGCTGTCCTGCACCCTTCAATTTGGAACCCGAAATTCCACTGAGATTATGATTTCTTGCATCTATCACTTACTGCATAATGTGCTAAAGACAGAACTTGAACCCAGGCAAAGCAAAGCCACACCAGAAGCTGGGAGAAGCAGTTGGGACATTGCTGTTTTATTTTTAAGGAAAGGAGGGTTTGAAAAGGACAGTTGCCTAAGAGAACAGAGAGCTCAGGGGAGAAGGAAGAGAGCATGTCATAGAGTGAAAATAAGCAATCCCAGCTGGGAAGAACAGACTTGCTGACTAGTAGCTTGTATTGCGTGAGTAACTGAAAAATCCAATAGTGTCCTCAATGTGTGCATGAGAGTGAGAAACTGGAACAAGACTACCATGTTACCCAGGAAAGAGGATGGAGAGAAAGAAGACAGCCAAGTTATAGCAAAAGCATTCCAACATTTAGCATTGCTAAAATTCTTTCCAGAAATTACACGTATAAACTTGGTTAAGTTACTGTCATTTAGACATATGTCTTCTGCATCATTATTACTGCCTTACTTACAAATAGATTTCAAAAGTTTCCTGAAGTATTGATCATTGCTGCCTTGCTTTCTGTCCCGTAGCACTCATAATGATGGAGAACAAATGAGGGAAACTCTTAAGCAGCTAGTACCTGCCAATGGTCCTAAGTAACTTAAATAACTCTTAAATCGTCTTCCTATCCCCAGTAATGAAGGAATATGGCTAGAACGCAGATCCTCCTATGGGGGCAGAAGGGTTGCTTATTTCTGCCTTGTGGCGCAAAAAACAGATGCTCAATAAAGGCACCCCATTCCTAATCTAAATTGCTGGAGATTTTCTATTCCTTGGCTCAATCATTAACCAAAAGGGATACTGCAACCAAGAATTCAGAAAGTGATTGAGACTGGGGATGGCAGCCATGAAGGAACTAGAAAAGATTCTTAAGTCTAAGGATGTGTCACTGGTAATCAAGATCAAGTTAATTCATTCCATGGTATTCCTCATTACTATGTATGGAAGTGAAAGTTGAACAATGAAGCTGCCAGGAAGAAAGTTGATTAATTTGAAATGTGGTGTTGGAGGAGAGGTTTACGGATATCATGGGCCACCAAAGAGACACATAAGTGGGTTCTAGATCAAATCAAGCCTGAACTCTCCCAAGAAGCTAAAATGACTGAGGCTATCGTACTTTGGACACATTATGAGAAGACGAGTCACTCGAAAAGGCAACAGTGCTAGGAAAAGCTGAAGGCAGCAGGAAAGGAGGAAGATCCAACGTAAGATGGATTGACTCAAAAAAAGCCATGAACCTCAGTCTGCAAGACCTGAATAAGGCTGTTAATGGCAGGACATTAATTCATAGGGTTGCCATAAATTGGTAGTGACTTGACAGCATTTAATACACGCACACACTCCTAATCTCCAAACCACAGTTTGGAATGCAATGCCTGAATTGAGCTAGAATGTATTCAACCAATAAGAAAGGGGAGGGGTGAAAACTTCAGCTTAAAGTGGGGATGACAATGACTCAAGTCTTAGTCACTTCAGTGCAGCACCAAACAGTGTCCACATATATAAGCGAATATATTCTTGTAATCACTGAGCACAGCATATATAGCATACTGGCTATTTAAAAAAGTATATTCAGCAAATAGATGTGATACATATGGCTAAAACCTGGGACTCATACAGGTCACAGTGCTTGCTTATTTTTAAAACTGCGTCAGAAGAATGGCAACCTTTGAAAGCCACTGACTGAATTTTTAAGAGCAGTAGAACACACACCAGTAGCAGGCTAAACATTTTCCAAACCTAGCTGAAGCACTTTGGCAGTACACCATGACTGACTTATTTTTCTATGAATACACAGGAAAAAGGTACACCAAGTCAAAGCTTATAAAAGAAGAAGA